ACAAGGGCTGTTGAAGTTGATTTGGGTGGCCCTTTTTGGTGCTGTGAAGAAGTCAGTTATCACACTCCTAAGGACGGGCAATCTAAGCCCTTAGCAAGCATCAGTAATTTGATTGTTTCCAAAGGTTGGTGATTATCACGGCTGAGAAAGTAGCAAAGGGCGGGGATGGGAATGGCCAGCAAGGATCCAGCTGCCTTGTTATATCCCAAGGTGCTCTCCACAGGCAGGGCAGGGTGAGATTTCCAGTGTTGCATAAATGAAACAATATCATCGTGGCTACTATGACCGCATAGACTTTGCATTTTGCCACGGACTAACCATCACTTTCCTTCTCTTCCCAGAGCTCACATCCTGCCCCGGGGAGGGCATGTTAGCAGGGCTGCATCCCCCCTGCCCCAAGCCATGCTGTGAGGAGGGGACAGCCCGGCCATCCAGCAGCGGGAATGATGGCCCAGTCCCGGGCCAACGGCTCACACTACGCCCTGACAGCCATCGGGCTGGGGATGCTCGTCCTCGGCATCATCATGGCTGTCTGGAACCTCGTCCCGGGCTTCGGCCCCCCCGAAAAACCCGCCACCCCCGCCGGGAACAGCAGCAAACCCGACCGTGGCTCCGGGGGCATCTTGAAGAGCAAGACCTTCTCGGTGGCCTACGTGTTGGTGGGAGCAGGGCTGCTCCTGCTCCTGGTCTCCCTCTGCCTCAACGTCCGGGACAAGAAGAGGCAGAGCGAGGAAATCGCCATCGCCCACGTGCAGCGCCACGTGTCTGTGGAGCCCTCGCAGCAGGAGGACAGGTGAGGTGTTCCTGGGAGAAAGGGAGCGGGGGTAGGAATGACAGCAGGGGCTGTTGTTGCAGCTCAGTGAGGTCTGGATCAAGGAGAGGAAGGCTGGTGGCAGCGTGTGCTGAAATAAGCAAGCACATGTCGTGGTTTGGGGTTCTGATGTGTGCTGGAGATGGGAAAGGAATGACTCCAGCTGTATTTATGGAGCTGTGCAGGTGGAAGGGAGCCTCGTTGGTGTATAAAATGGGGTCTAGACAGAGCTGTGGCCAAGCCAGTGTTGCTGAGATGTGCCACTCCTGGCTGGGTTGGCACATGGGAGAGTGCTGAGAGGGAACACGGGGGGGTGGGTGATGGATAACACAGAGAGCAGGCTCCTGCCACACGCTGGGAGAGGAGCCGGAGGTGCAGCAGAGGTGCTGTCTCACTGGGTGCAGCCGACGTGCCCAGCAGCCTTGGAGGCTGGCCATGGAGTTTAGACCTGGTGAAAGTCTGCAGGGCTCTGCTGTTTGCTCAGGGATCTGCATGGAGCAGAGCAAAGGCTGCTGCTGCAGGGACAGGCTGGACAAACACTGGTGCAGTTCCCTGTGCAGAGGGAGGCAGGGAGGTGTTGGGACAATGTGGGATACAAGGGGGCAGGAGAGGATGATGGCTCTGCTGGCTGTTGTCAGGGTCTGCAGATCCACCCAGAAAACCAATTTTCCCTATTAGATTGAAAAGATAACTTCACAATGCCAAAGAAATGGCAAATGTTGATGTGCAAACCTGTGCATAGACAGTGACATAGTGCAGGGCTAAATCTCTTTGCAGAATCTCTTTACCTCAAGGTACTCAACCCAAAAGACATCAGAACAACAAAGGAAGATAGGTGATGTCCCTTTCAAATGTATTTTGACTGATTTTTGAGAGAGGAGGAGAGAAATTGGTATTCTTTTGAAGGAATAATTCACTGCTAGGCAATAGAAAAGGGATTTGTGGGCAGAGATGATCAAAGATGAGCATATGACATAAGGAAACAAAATGTGTCTGAACATAAGTGGGGTCATGATTTGTTCTGTCAAGCAAAAAGGGGCTGGTATATAATGCAGAAGGGCAAATAATTAGTTAAGCCTTTGAGGGTGGGGTGGTTTTATTCTTTCCTCTCCATCCCCTACCCACAGCAAAGCTGAAATGATGTTGTGCCCACAGCCTTAACTCTCTCCCCTCCAGTCAAGAAGAGGATGAAGACGTGTCTTCCCAGTACTACGTCCCCAGCTACGAGGAGGTGATGAACACGGGCTACTCAGAGCCCAGAGACTCGGACAGGAGCAACAGGCTGAGCGTCTCCCTGCCCTCCTACGAGTCTCTGACGGGGCTGGATGAGAGCAGCCAGGCTCCAGGAGCTGCAGGCACGGAGCCAGGCACGGAGAGACAGCCCAGCCGGCACAGCTCCCGCCTCAGCAAGCGCCTGAAGCCGCTGAAGGTCCGGAGGATCAAGTCAGAGAAGCTGCACCTGAAGGACATCAGGCTAAACCTGGACCAGGGGAACAGCACTGTCCCTGTCACGATAGAGCCCCTCACCCCTCCGCCCAAGTACGAGGAGATCCAGGAGAAAGCGCCGGTGAGCCAGCAAATGCCTTAAAAGAAAAAAAAAAGGAGGGATCTGTGATGCTGCTGGGTTGAGGGTTTTTATAAACCCACCAGGCCAAGAGGGGCTTGGTCTGTGGGCGCAGAAGCAACCAGGGCTCCCTGGAAGCTGCCACGTGGAGGACGTGATGGGTGTGGTAGCACTGCAGCACAAGGATGGGACACTTTTTCCCTGGGACTGGGTTTTACAAAAGACTGTGGGGAAAGAAGCCTGAATGCCACAGGTTCTGCTGCTCTGAAGTAAATGAAGGCTGGATGTACCAAAAGTGTCACTTATTGTGTTTGATATAAGACCACCCAATGCATCCTCTCACCTCCTCTGCCTCTCACCTCCAGCAAGACTTTTCCAAGCCACCAAACTGATATTGAAGAAGGATTTTTCCAAGTGGAAAAGCGAAATGTTCCTTTTTTTTTGGGGTGTCTTTTCTTTCTGAGGAAGGGAAAGCGCGTTGCCAGAGCAACACCACGGCTTTCCCCCCCTCCCAGCTGGGTTGGGCTGGTGGCCCAGGGCCAGCCCTGACTCCTGCCAAGGTCTCTGCTGGCTGGTGGGAAGCAGCTGAAAGGGGCCCCGTGCTCCTCGGGTAGAGGATGGATTTCCTGCCTTAGTTGCTTTCCCTGTTGTGTTTTGTGCTCCGTTCGAGGCGAGTGGGTAACTCGGGGGGGTTTGGGAGCTGCACCAGTGCCAGGGGTGCAGGGTGAAACCACTGCTGAGCATCCTGTGCGGGCAGACTGGGGCTGAATAAATGTTTTGTACGTTGTGTTTGTGTGTGTGTGTGTGCACTCGGGGGTGGTTGGTCCTTCCCAAGGTTTATAATCCGTTGGTTGTTGTAAGGGAGATGCTCCATGGGCATCCCAGCTCCATGGGCATCCCAGCTCCATAGGCATCCCAGCTCCATGGGCATCCCAGCTCCATGGGCATCCCAGCTCCATAGGCATCCCAGCTCCATGGGCATCCCAGCTCCACGCTGCCCCCCGGGCAAAGCCATTGACCACAAAGTCATCAACACATCCATCCATGGTCTGAGAGGGATATGGAGGTGGCTTTGTTGGTGTGATGCTGATATTGATGTTATCATAGAACAATAGAACCATTTAGGTTGGAAAAGATCTCCCAAGAACATCAACTGTTAACCCAGCACGGCCAAGTCCACCACTAAACCATGTCCATGTTATGGACTGGTCAGCAGAGGTTGACTTGATGCTGTGGTTGATATGAGAGGAGTCCAAGTGACCAAAATGAAGGCAAAGATATGCTGGTCCAAATCCATCCAGCAGGTTTCTCTTGTTGATGGTTATTTCCCATTGCATCTCTCAGTTTCTGTTGTTGCATCACAGGAGTTTCACTTTGCTGTGCCCCAAGGCACCTTCTCAGATGGGCAAAATAACCTCATTAACTAAGGGACTCTCTTACTGAAGAGAAGGAAACAAAGCAGAATATACCCCAGATAGAGGGATGTGGGGTGGGGGGTCCTGTGTGGGTGTTGTTGAGGGGATGTAAAGGTGGTGCAGCTCCTTGGAGGTTGTGTCCCAGGCATGTGTGCCCCTGAGAGCCCACTGGGAATGAAGTCCTCTCCCCTCAGTGAAGAAATACAGCCCTAACAGTTGTCCTAGAAAATCTGGGCGAATAAAGTGAAGTTTCTCGTCTGAGCAGTTGGAAGGTGAAGTTTTATTGAGCTTCTTTGCCAGAAAATCCCATTTGATGAAATAGACTGGCAAAAACATCATCTTTCCCAGTGTCCCAGGTAGGAAAAGAGCTGGAAGACTGCCATGAAGTGCGGTGACTGCAGTGACGTGAGCTGTGACTCAAGCAATAGTTATACCAAAAATGCCCAAATGGCTAATGAGCATCTCTGGCTACTTTCATGCTTGTCCTTTGATGGTATTTGGGAAGCAAAGGGAAATATGGGATGCTGAGAAGTGCAGGAGCCATGACCATCATTATCCTAGGATGGCTTATCCCTGTGGCACTGTAAGGGAATGGTTATTCCTGAAGGTGAGGGTGATGGAGAAGAGGGTGGAGAGAGCACAGCTGTCTCCTCCACACACACCTAACAGCAAATTCATCTTACCCCAACCTCAGGCTGGTTGTCCGAGGTGGACCACACTAGTAGGTGAGAAATCAGGATGTGTTTAACATTGCACTTGTGTCTCAGCATTTCCAGAAGGTAACTCACATTCCAGGACAACTTGTGAGTTCAGCCTGGAGAAGAGAAGGCTCCAGGGAGACCTTAGAGCACCTTGCAGTACCTAATGGGAGCTCCAAGAGAGCTGCAGAGGGACTTTGGGCAAGGGCCTGGAGTGACAGGATGAAAGGGAATGGCTTCAAACTGACAGAGGTTTGCAGAGCTCTTCCTTGCAAAATCTTCCGCTTCTTCCTCAAAATTAATGAGATTATTAATAAATTAATTTTTTTATTATTATTAATATGATAGAATCTTGCAGGACTGGAGAGGCCAAACTGGGGGGTGTTAGTGGCAAGGGTGGGGGGGTTTCCCTTTGTCTGCTGAAAAAGAGTTCCTGACAGCCTGGGACCAAGGAATATGGATGGAGAAGCACTGATGGGTCCCCATCACCTGGCAGCAACATTTATCCCCTTACCTGTGGTCGCAAAATGTGTTTGTGTGTGTGTGTGTGTGTGTGTGTGTGTGTGTGTGTGTGTGTGTGCATGATATTAAATAAAAAAAAATAAGTCAAATGGGGACTCAAAGGTTCTTTGGCAGCCCTGGCAGGTGGCAGTGAGGTTTGTGATGCACATTCCCACGTGTGTCACCAGCTGGCACCGAGAGCTGCGGCCGCGCCGGCGCGGAGCTCTGTTGTGCTGCCAGGCCAGTTGCTTGGAAAAAGGAGAAGGAGGAAAAAAAAAACTAAACAAAACAAAGGGGAAGAACTCACCCAGACAGGCAGCAGCGGGCCCCAGCGTGGCTGAGGTTTCCAAGGCTACTGCCAGGCTGCAGCGGCACTGCTGGCTGGGACAGAGCCGCTTTTGGGGTCACTTCGCACGGTTTTTAGTGTTTGAGTTGTTTGGGCCACTCGTGGCTCAGGTTGTGTGTGGGGTGGGGGGTTGCTGAGTGAGGAGTTGGGATTTTTTGGGGAAGCCTTGCAGGTTTGGGGGCTGGGCAATGAGAGCCTTTCTAAGGAGCTCGGAGGGGTGTTTCCAGCTGAAACCCCACACCACGACCATCGGGAGCCACAGAGGGGCCGACATCGTCCTGCAGGTAGGGGCGGGGCAGCTGATCATCCTAAAACAGAGGGTGCTTTGGATGCAGGCAGGAGGACGTGCTGGAGTCCTCCATGCAAAGTGTGGTGGGATTTATGACCAGCAAGGGGGCTTGGCAAAGCAGGGACACACCTGGAGCCGCCTCCAGCAGCGTTCCCTGCCTGCCCATTGCCCGCTCCCAGTCCGCAGGTGTAGCAGATCGTCACGCAGCCCTGGAATTCTCCGCCTCCGACAACGGCTTCATCCTTCAGGACTTCAACTCCCCCCACGGCACCTTTGTCAACAGCTGCCAGGTCCAGAATGCGGCCGTGGGGGTGAGGCCAGGGGACATCCTGCGCTTCGGCACCGCGGGAGCGGCCTTCGAGCTGGTGCTGGATGGGGCTGCCCAGGTGAGGCTGGGTGGGGCTGCCCTGGGAAGGGTGCCCAGGGAGGGATGGGGTGCTTGCTGATCCCAGGGAAGGGTGCCCAGGGAGGGATGGGGTGCTTGCTGATCCCTGGGAAGGGTGGGTGGGTTCTACTGCCCGAGGAAAGGTGCCCAGGAAAGGATGGGGTTCTCCTGCCCTGGGAAGGATGGGGTGCTTGCTGATCCCAGGAAGGAGTGCCCGTGGAAGGATGGGTGAGTTGTTCTGCCCAGGGAAAGGTGCCCAGGGAAGAATGGGTGGATCTGCCCAGGGAAGGGTATCTTGAGGAAGGATGGTGTGCTCATCCCAGGGAAAAGTACCCAGGGAAAGGTGTGTGGGTTTTAGTGCCCAAGGAAAGGTGCCCAGGGAAGGGTGGATGGGGATGTCCAGGGAAAGTTGCCAAGGAAAGGTGGGTGGGTGCTGCTGCCCAGGGAAGGCTCCGGGAGCAGGAACAGGTTCCCAGGTCTGGGCAATCCTGAGGAAAGGCGAGGGGGGGAAATGAAAAGCTGGAGCTCCCTCTGCTGAAGAAACTCTGGCGGTTCGGCAGGGAAACGGAAAATGACGGGACGACGGTGCGTGAGAGAAGGTAGATCTGGAAAACGTGCTTTTCCTCTATTTGCGTTTTATGTTTCTTCCCAAGCCACTTAGTGCGAGGGAAGTTGGGTTTTACATCAAACCTACAGCAACTGATAAGTTCCAGTATCATTTTTATTACTGTGGCTCTTGAAGAATCCAAGATGCTGGTGAGGTAATGCCAGACCCTGCTGGAGCAGCTGAATTCCCAAAGGCAGGGTGCACACAGAGAAGCAGGTTTGCACAGCAATGCAGAGGATGCCTGTGGGGTGCCTGTTCCTTACTCTGGGCTCTCTGATCCTCCTGTGGAGGAGCAGCTTTGAAGCCTGACCCTGCTGACTGCAGGGAAGGAACCACCTCGGAGTTGCACCCTGTGAGGTGTCTAACAGAGGGAGAGATCACTCCTCTCGAGTCTTAGAGGAACATGTTGTACAGAGGAGCAGCACCCGGCTGGGAATCACATCCCGCCGTGCCTCCAAGCGCAGGATAAGGGCCAAGACAGGGACAGTGGAAGGCTTTGGTGGAATCCTGCTGTGAGCAAGAGCAAAAGCAACAGGGCTTGGACGTGCTCCAGGAGAAGGGAAGGTGCTGGAGTGGCAGGGAGCATTCCCTGGGGGTTTGGGCTCTGCTAACACCCAAATGTTGGAGGGCCCACATCCAGGCCAGGTCCGACGCTGTGCTGGCAGATGTTTAGTGCAGACCTTGACAGTGGCTTGTCCTCATTGTACTGGAAAGCTCAGGAGAACAGCAGTGTCCTAAATCTGGGTCTGACATGCCCAGCATAAGGTCTGGTAAATGTGATGGGAAGGCAGGAGCACAAGGAGAGGCTTTGGTTCAGTGGGGTGAATGGCAGAAACGATGAAGTAGGACCATGTGTGAGCCAGGAGAGCTGTGAGAGGAGCATCTCTAGATCATGCAAATGATGTGCAGAATTAGGGCAGAGATGGAGAGGGAAAAGCTCAAAAAGCAGCAAACCTCAGTGATTTCCTTCTGCTTCAGCAAAGAGTCTGAATGCCCTGATTAAAATCTGATCCTTGGGCAATGGAAATGGGAAAGGACTAAAGGACTAAAACCATGCTTCCACTGAGATCTGTGCCTGAGTTTTTTATGGCATGGTGCACATGAATCCAGGGCTAAAATCCTTGCTGATAACACGGTCTTTTCCCATCCTAGGTGTCCTGTCCCCCCTTGAAACGTCGCACAGGGTGGGCGGGGCAGCTCCAGGTGGTTGCAGAGCCCAAACCCTCTGCTCCCGTGTCTCCTCCCCGCCTGCCCTCGCTGCAGTGGCAGCATCCCCCTGGCTCTCCAGGCAGGGGCACTCCTGGAGCCCTCGGCCACCAGCCCCATCCTCCTCTGCCGAGGAGACCCCTGAGCGCCTGGGACAGGAGCGTGGCCAGCACTGCCTCTCTGGACACCTTCGGCAGGACCTCTGCAGTGAGGCCAGGTAATCCATGATCCCAAACCCAAACATTTGTGTCCTGGTGTCCTCACAGAGCAACTTGGTGCTCAGTGGAGTTGATTGGAGTGGGGAAGTGCTGAGTGTTGAGCAACCAGCTGTGAGTCCATGTCCAGTGGAGCTAATCAGAGACTGTGTGTGGTCCTGGGTGGCATTTGGGTCAGGGAAGAAATGAGCTGTGACACCCCAAAGGGAGTGCTGTTGCCTCTGCAGAGGGATGTTTCCTCTTCCTTTTTCCTGGTATGTGACCCAGAAGGGCGATGACTGATTTTATCTGCACCAGTGACTCATGTACCTATTCCTGACTCCTGTTTGAAGTGGTGTTTTTTTCCTCCTTTGAAGTGGCTGCCTCAAGTGCAGGAACTTTAAAGTCTATCCTTAGCTGATACACCTCTGGAAATAAAGTATATGATAAGCAACAAAGCAAAGGTGAGGGTTTGGGGGAATAGAACAGCTGGAGAACATGACTTTTGCCGTTAATGCTGTGGCCTGATGCACCATGCTGTGGTTTTCCTGTTTGGGGTTGGGTTTTTTGAAGTCATAAGCAACACAAAGTCAATAGTAGGGTTTAAATGTGCAAAGCAGGGGCAGCACCTTGCAGTCCCAGCAGTGGCTGAACTGGAAACCACAGTGAGGGCAAAGGGAGGGACACATACACCCCAGGTTGGCACATACCCCTCTGATTTTTGGGTAACAGAGCCAAAAGGATCCCCTTTTGTGCAAAAATGCACAGCTTTCTGTGGGGCTGAGCAGTGCTGGAAAATCAGAGGAGCTTTTCTCTGCTGTGTCTCTGCTGCTCTGAGGCTTTTCTGGTTCCCATAGGTGAATTATTCCTCTCTGTTGTGCAGACTGTGCTGTAAGTGTCATTTTAGTACCAAATAGGTGGTTTCCCTGCTGGTTGTGAACCAAGCTCATGCCCTGAACAGTGGCCACTGCCTTGGAGTAGTTTTGGGACAAAGAATGCTGCAGGGAGCATTTCTGCTGCCTGCAACCACCTCTCATGCTGATATTTACTGCTGCTGTTTTTGCTTTCTTCCAGTCTCAACCAGCTTCTCAGGTGATTGTGCAAGCAGTGTGGGGGGAGCCCCTTCCCTGGGGACTCACAACACGGATCTCCTCCAGCAGGAGAAGGTGATGCTGGGGAGAGAGTGAGGAATGCCATCCCTGTCCTGGTCCTTGGCAGAGCAGGAGAACCCTGCCAGCTGGCTGTGTGTCCCACCAGGAGTCCCAGCAGGGTGTGGGGACTCCCTCCCCAGGGGTCTGCTCAGAGGATGGGGACAGTGGGTGGCTGGAGGGTGTGGGAAGCCGGGTGAGCACGGCACTGATGGCCATGAGCGGGTACCCCTGGGCGGGAGGAGCTGCAGACTGGCCAATGGCACCTGCAATCTGCCCTCAGGGGGAGAAGCTGCTGCAGCTGGAGAAGGAAATGGGTCACCTCTCTGGTTTGGAAGCAGAGTCAAAGCGCAAAGACGTGGTGATAAGAGATCTGCAGGAGGAGGTCGCAGCCATGGCAAAGAAACTGGCCCAGGCGGCGGCGAGGAACGAGGTTGAACTGACCCAGAAACTGCTGGCCTTCAATCAAGAGCTGGGAGCCAAAACAGAGGAGATCAAAGCCCTGAGGGAACAGGTACCAGATACTTCCATAGGCACCAAGCAGGGAAAACACCTCTCTGACACAAGTTTGTAATGTAACAAAGGTTTGGGGAAAAGCAGGTCCCATGTCTGAAACCAAGGGAAATGAGGGAGGTGGGTTTTTTTCCTTCTCTCCCTCCTTTTTTTTCTTTCTTCCTTTTTTCCTTCCTTCCTCCTCCATGCCTCTGGCATTAGGATTTCATCAGGAACAGCCAAAGCACATTTAAGGTGATTCTATTTGAAACAATGACTCCTGAGAGTTAGTCAAAGATGCTAAAGAGCAATCCCATCAAACCAGGACCTGGATGTGCCAGATTTCCCTCTCTGGAGGGGAATCAGTGAGTGATGGGGTGAGGAACACAGTGAATCTGTGTTTTGCAGATCAATGACCTGCAGAAAGGCTCGAGCCAGGTTTTCAGCCATTCCCTCTATGAAAGAGACCTGGAGATCGGGAGGCTGCGGAGAGAAAGCGAGAAGTTGAAGAAGGACCAGGCTTTGAGTGCAGGTACTTTGTCCCTGGAGCTCTGGGTCAGGGCATGAAGCAGTTTAGGACTGGCTCTGGATAAAAGCAAGCATTGGCCAAGCTGTCCAGGCAACAACTGATTTGTAGTGGCTTGTAGAAATCAGAGAATCCTGGAGTAGTTTGGGTTGGAAGGGACCTTAAAGAACATCTTGTTCCAACACCCTGGCATAGAGAGGGACACCTTCCACTAGCCCAGGTTGCTCCAAGCACTGTCCCACCTGGCCTTGGACACTTCCAGGGATGGAGCAGCCACAGCTTCTCCGAGCAACCTGTGCCAGGGCCTCCCCACCCTCACAGGGAAGAATTCCTTCCCAGTATTTCATCTGGATGTTGCACTTGTGTAACCTCTCACCAGAGTTGTTTTTCCCAGGTCTGGTGAGCAGCCTGCAAAGGGATGTCCTGCAAAAGGAGCAGAAAATTCAGCAGCTCCAGCAAGAGATTGAAAAACTGAAGAAGGAAAATCGAGAGAAGGACAACCAGCTGGCAGTTGTTTCTGCCAAGGTTGGCAGGACTAACGAGGGCATCAGTAATTTATGGTCTCACATAGGGGTTAAGGTGGGAAAGCAGGTGGAGAAGAGTTGTGCTTCTCCCTTGTGAGGACTGTAGCAGCTGTATGTGGGTGGCTGTTTGTTGGGGGGTCCCGAGGTGAGTTCTGGCTGCACACAAACAGGAGTCACACAACTGTGCCACTGGGATGTGGTGGTGATGGTCCCATGGTCACACCAGGGTGTCCTGTGATGGCCACGGATCAGGGTCCCCTTCCCCAGCTCCATCTCCCTCCTCACTCAGCATCACTGTGCCCTGGATTCCTGTGAGCACAGGAGCTGTTTGTTCACACAAAGCTCTCATGCCAAGATCCTCCCAAGGAGCCATGGAAACCCCATCACTGGGGGTGGGGCTCCCTGTGGCCTGGGCCTGGATTTTCCCTTAAAGAAAGTGGCTTGTGCAGCAGGTTGTCTCTCTGTATGTGCAACTCCTCCTCAGCTGGCAGAGCTGCATCAGCAGTGTGATAAGGGGCAGAGGCTGCACAGGCTCTATGGGATTGCCAGGGATTGCCTAGGAATCACAGAATGGCTGTTTGGAAATAACCTCTGAGATCATTGAGTGCAACCATTCCCCTGGCACCACCAAGGCCACCATTAACCCACGTCCCCACGTGCCACATCTACACCTCTTGTAAATCCCTCCAGGGATGGCAACTCCACCACTGCCCTGGGCAGCCTGTGCCAGTGTTCCATTCACAGCAGGAGTGATGGTGTCACTGCCCTGATGGATATTTTCCTTGGTTGCCATTCCTTCTAGTGCTCGAGAATTAAAGAGGAAACGAAGCGTGAGCTCGGAGAGCAAGAAATAATCAGCTGTCGAAATGTGAGTTGGAAATATTTTGGGGTGATGGAGCACAGGGCTAAGCAGTGGCTGCAGGAATGCATCAGCCAGGGAATAATTAACTGGGCATTGTAAGGGAGTTGTTTGGAATTCAGCTCCTGCACTGGAAGGCACATAATGGGACTAACCACCCGGGGAAGTGTAAACTCGGTTGGATTTGTAATGCTGTGTTACAATGCAGGGGGGATGTGACCAGAAATCAGGTTGGAATTCTGCTGGTAAGCTGATAAAACCACAGTAAATATGGGTTAGAAGGGAATTCCAGGCTAAGCAAAGTGGGTTAGATGGGGAAAACATCTTGCTTATGAGTGGAAGTTTTCCAGAGAGGCAATGCCCGGTTCCTCTGGTGAGACCCCTGCCCTCCCTGGGCTTTTGCAGCGCATTGGGGAGCTGGAACGGGACCTGGAGGGGCTGCAGGTGGAAATCCAGAAGCATTGTGCCAAGCAGGAGAGCGTCCAAAATCAGCTGGCTGAGAAAGCCCAGGTTAGTGGCCGGCTGAGGGGGGCACACAGAGGGCAGGTGTGCCCTGGTGAGCCCATGGCAGGTCTCTCAGCTGCCTGACAGGGGTGAAAGGTGGGTGGGATGAGGACCAGCAAGTCCCCGGAGCAGGCTCCTGGGTCAGGAGTACAGGCAGGGGGTCCTGTACAGGCAGGAGATCCAAATGTCCTGAGCTCTGCCGTGGACACTGAGAGAGGAAGAAATAATTCAGATAGCAGAGTGCCCTGTGTGGGTGTTGGGTGAGGAAGTCAAGGATGGACAATGTCCCAGGGACCTGACCCACGCAAAAAGTGCCGTGAAAGCTCTGATGCTGCAATCCCACCCCTGCAATGGGATTGCTGCCTGTCTCCTGGTGTTCCAAAGCTACCTTTGGAGTTGTCTGATGGGAATAGTGGGTAGCTGAGGTCAAAGCGCCCATGGCATGGCTTTCAGATGTCACTCTGAGGTGCCAATCATAGAATCATAGAATCAGCTGGGTTGGAAGGGACCTTGAGATCATCAAGTCCAACCCTTGATCCAACACCACTGTGGTTACTAGGCCATGGCACTGATGCCACATCCAGTCTCTTTTTAAAAATCCACCCCTTCCCTGGGCAGCCCATTCCAATGGCTGAGCACCCTCTCTGTAAAGAAATCCTTTCTAATATCCAACCTAAACCTCCCCTGGCACAACTTGAGACCCAGCCCTCTTGTCTTGCTGATGGTTGCCTGGGAAAAGAGACCAACCCCCCCCCGGCTCCCCCCTCCTGTCAGGGAGTTGCAGAGAGTGAGGAGGTCTCCCCTGAGCCTCCTCTTCTCCAGGCTGAGCCCCCCCAGCTCCCTCAGCCTCTCCTCACAGCACTTGTGCTCCAGTCCCTTCCCCAGCCTCGTTGCCCTCCTCTGGACCTGCTCCAGCCCCTCCATGTCCTTCCTGAGCTGAGGGGCCCAGAACTGGACACAGCACTCCAGGGGTGGCCTCACCAGCGCTGAGTCCAGGGCAAAAATCCCAGTGCTGCGGTGGTTGCAGGCGGAGGAGGAGCTGAAGGCAGCCGGTGCCCGGCAGGCTGTGCAGCTGCGGGAGATGGGGCGCAGGGAGCGGCTGCTGCGAGCGGAGCTGCGGCGGGCAGGGGAGCAGGTAGGGATGGGCAGGGATGGGAACATCACCCCCGGGGCCGGGGGCAGCACAGGGACAGGGCTTCCCATGGGGAAGGATGTGGTGCAGGAATGAAAACGCTGAGTCCTGAGCACCAAACCCTGGCACGGGACTTGTCGTCGGGTGAAGTATAAAAGGCTTATCCACAGGATTTGTGTGGGCAGCATAGTCGACAGAGCAGTTTAACAGGATACAAAAAAAGGATTCTATAATCCTGGTTACGCTGTCTGGGACCCACACAAACCCTCCTGGGTGCCTGGGTAATGCTGCTCTGGCGGGGACAGCCCTTTGCAGAGCAACATCATGCTAGATATCGATGATCAGTTATCCTCAGAGATGATCAATTAGCCTCAGTGATCAGTGACGTTTGTTTTCCTGCGTCAATCCTTGCTGCAGCTGGAGTCCTTCAAGACCCAAGTGATGCAAGTCTGTTCTCCATCAGCAGCAGGCAGCACAGGGAAATCCATAACGGAGCAGCAGGTGAGTTGGGTACCAGCTCATGGTGCCTCCAGCGCCCGGTGCAGCTCAAGGCGGATGCTGCGGAACAGCCGCGGTGCCTGCTCTGTGCTCAGTAGGGCTGGTGGCATCCCAGCTTCTGCAGATGAGGAGCTGTGCTGTGGCTGTCCCAGGTTAATGGCACTGCTCCATGATGTGAAGGAGACACAGTCCTTTTTGTGTCCCACAGCTTGGATGGAGTCAGTGGGCTGCAGCAGGGGCAAGCCCAGGGCCCTGGCGTGGTTGCCAGTTTGCAGCAAGTCTCGATTGTTTCTTGCTGAGACCATCCATGGTCCCTCAGCTGGAAAAGGATATGAATATAGTGCCTTATCCTCTTCTTCCTCCACCTTTGCTAGGTGATAGAGAAGGTCAGGCAAATCTGTGATGAGATCCAGCAGAGTCATGAGAGGGAGAAGTGTCTGCAGGAGGAGTTAAGCTCCAGGCTCATGAAGGAGAAGGAGGTGTCTGCAAACATTGAGGTGCTCAAGAATTCCCTGCAGGAGCTCCAGGTCAGTCCTTTAAATACTGAGGACCAAGGGGCAGTTGGGAGATGGTGGCACAGGGCATTTTGTTGGCCTGAGGATAGGTTAAAGATATGACCCTGAAGCAGAGTGTCATCCCAAAGCGTTCATGTGGCTGTTCCCAGCAGTTTGCCATAGAATCCTAGAATAGTTTGGGCCGGAAGGGACCTTAAAGCTCCTTTCATTGCACCCCCTGCCATGGGTGGGGACACCTTTCACTTCACCAGGTTGCTCCAAGCCCTGTCCAACCTGGCCTGAGATGTTCAGTGAGGTTGTGTCATTTGCCAAGTCCCTGAAAGCCCCTGACTGTGGAGACTGGCTTGTTCCCCACTGGTTCCATTTTTTCCAGGCTTGCCTGAGGAGCTCCTGCAGCAGCACCAGCCTGCAAGGGAAGCTGGAGCAACTGGAGGTGGCGTCCCTGGATCCCTCCATCTCAGCCATCAGGACAGCAGTGGTGGACATGGCACGTGTCCCCCTCTCCTGGCTGGAGGACGTGGAGCAGCTCCTGGCCAGTGTGGGGATGGACCTGTGCACCTCTGGCCAAGGTCTGTGTCCTGCTGGGCATCCCTGGGAACACCTGCACAAGGTGGGTTGTCCTAGCTAGCCAGATGTAGAGGAGAAAATCCAGCATGGGCCGCTCCTTGTAGAGAAAATCATGGAATCACAGAATTTTTAAGGCTGGAAAATACCTCCAAGGTCATCGAGTCCAACCATTAACCCAGCACTGCCAAGGCCACCACTCAACCCTGTTCCCAAGTGCCACATCCACACACCTTTTGAACACTTTCGGGGATGGTGACTCCACCACTGCCCTGGGCAGGCTGTTCCAATGCCTGACCATCTTTTCTGTGAAGAAATTTTCCCTAATATCCCTAATATGGTGTGTGAGCACCCCACACAGCGAGGTTGTGTTGACTTCTGCAGGGCTGTTGGCTGCTTTCAGGAGCTTGTTGGAAAAGACTCAGGAAGTGGCACAGAGGAATCAGCTGTTGCAGGTACAGAAATATTTATGTACATGAACCATGTAGGTTTGGAATCTTTCTATGGTTAAACATGATAGTAATCCCAAGTGAGCCAGTGTGGGATCTGGATTGGGGATGTGCAGTAGCCAAGGTGCCTGGGTCTGCAGGAAATGCAGGGGAAAGGAGACTCTTTTGGGAATTGTTTGTGAGTGAATGTTCACAGGAGGTTTATTTCTTCCCCTGCTGCTGACACACTTCCTTTAATACCTCGGTGTCTCCCTGTAGGAGCAATTAGAGAGGCTCCAGCAGTCACAGGCAGAGATGCTACAGGAGCACACAAAGGAGCTGGAAGCAAAACATGAGCAAGACTTGGAGATAAAAATCCAGCAAATTATCCTGGAAAAGGACAAGGAGAACAAAGAGGTAGAGTGGCATGGTTGGTGGTTTGGAAAGGGAATGTTATATGCAGGAAAAATGGGTGTCTGTAAGAGTGTTGGTTATTATCTCTAGCTTTGAACTGTCTGGGTGCAGTCCTAAGAGCCCAATGGGATCCCAGGAGGATATAGAATATCCTCCTATATGGATGCAGGTGATGTAAACTCCCCCAAAGTATCCGTGATGGTACTGGGAAGCACCTGTGGGTAACAGGATGCATGGGTGCCAGTCAGTCCCTGGGAGAAAGGAGAAAGCAAGGAGCATCATCCCGATGTATGAGCTTAGGGAAGCACTGCATTGCTTCCTCTCAAGCCCTCTGCTCCCTCCCTCCCCATGCTGAGCTCCTGTTGGGTCTGTTTTAGCTGGAAAAGGACACCCCCTGTGAAGCAGGGACCAGCAGTCCCCCTCCATCCCAGGAAAGCCTAGGCCACAATGCTGGTGGCTCTGGTGTGGGATGCAGTGTTAGTGAGGGAGCAAGTTGGTGTTTTGCCATGTCTGTGCTGTGGTGGGAACAGCAGGCCTTGTAACACAGTTTCTGGTGTGCTTCTGTGTCTGGTGCCTCAGGAATGGTGGTTTCCTGGTGTTGAGTTTTCTAAGGACTCAGGAAAGGAGCAGCCAAGCAGCTCCTCCCCTGTCTCTTGGATGTACCTTTCCCCAGGTGCTCCCATCCACTCCCTCACTGGGTCACCTCGGGTCCTGCCAGGCTTTTCTCCCATCACCTGCCCCTGCTCTGGAGCAGTGACCCTCCCTGCTGCTTTCCTCCCTGGACCTGAGGTCTTTTTCCTAAGGTCATGATTTTTTCTGTGCTGAAGCTGTGATCTATCAATTCCCAGATTCTAGAAAGCACTCTCGCTGAGGAGAAGGACAAGTGTAAGAAATGTGTGGAGGAAGAGCAGAAGAAGATCCAAGAGCTGGAAAGCCACCTGAAAAGCATGAATGAGGTGAGCATGGGAAGTGAAGCAGGACAGCTCACCCTTGGAGTGAAGAAATGGGAATGTGTGTTGTAATGTGGTGCTCCAGGGGCCCAAATCAGTGGACAGAGGGTTTTTCCCCCCCCAAATACACAGAGATGAATATCTGCAGAGAGAAAGGTGGATTCCTGGATAGCTTAATTACTGCTAATTTCATCCTGTAGGCAACAGCAAGGAAGGCAGAGGAGCAGGAGGTGATAGAGGGCAAACTGAAAGAAGCTTTGCATGAGCTGGAGGAAACCACTGCCCGAGAGGTACTTCCACCAACCTGTGTGTGCAGGTGGAGGGTGCAGTGTTGATGAAGAAGGGTTCCCCCATCCCTGAAATCCTTCCCTTCCCTCCGTCCTTCCAAGAGCTAGCCAGGAGAGATGACACTGCTGGTGATCCCAAAGGAAACCACCAGTGCCTCCAGCCAATCTCCCAGCTCTTGTTTCCCAGGTGTTGCTACAGCAGCAGCTGCTCGTGCAGGATGAGCAGCTCAGGGCTGTCCAGGAGGACAAGGAGTTACAGAGGCAGAAACTGCAGGAAGAAATAGCAGGATATAGGGAGCAAAGCAAGCAGCATTCCCTGACCATCGTGGCTTTAGAGGACAGGCTGCTGGGGGCCACACAGGAGCAGAAGATGCTGGAGGAGGAAAAGGCAGCACTTGTGGAAAAAATGGAAGGTAGGCAAGGGTTGTATGGGATGCACCTGTACCAGGGACCTGCTGGGTTAACATGGAATGTTTATGGAGAGGGAGCAGTGAATCTGCTGCTATGGAAAGCATTGGGTAGGATGTCGGAGGGAGCTTTGCCCACGTGCAGGACAAGGTCCATGAGTCCCTGCAGAGGGCATTTCATTGTTTGGTGGGTTTGGAAACTGTTGGTAAAAAGGGCTTTGCCACTGGAGAAGGGCTTTTTACCCTCTAAACCAACAAGACTGGAGGAGCACTTTGGGTTGCACCCAGGCAGAAGAGATCCCAAGCCAGACAGGATGTTGGGAACTGCCCAAGCACTGTTGGAAATGGGTTCTAAGAGACATGGATTTCCCAAGCAGACAGTCCTCAGTCCTTGAAGCTGCCATGAAGGAAAGGATCTGTGTTGCAGAAGCAGCAGAACAAGTGTGCAAGTGTTACAAAGAAGTAATGGGCCTTATTTTCTCGTGTCCTGTAGTAATTCAGCGCGGTGCCCACAGGTCAGCATCAGGAGCTTGGCTGGAGGTTTGTCCTGCCATGGAATCACACATTTGTCTGAGGTGAGCAGCTCTCACTGGTGGTGGTCAGAGAGGCTTGGAGAAGAGCAGGGACCACTGGGAGAGCCTAAGGAAGTCCAAGGAGACTTGTCCCAAGATCTTTTTAGTCAAGGATGGGCCCTTTGCTAGGCAGAGGTGTTCCTGAGGGCATGGAGCATCCTGACAGCACATGAGGATGTGCCATCCCATCCAGATGGCTCCAGGCAAGAGCGAGCGAGGTGGCCAGACCCACTGCACAGGGTGACCCCAGGGGAGCAAAAGGCAGGGAAAAAAGGAATGTGTGAGCGTTCATCAGAAGATGCAGTGCAGGAAGGTGTGTGTGTGCTCCGTGAAATGAGGCCTCCCAGTGAGCTGTGAGATTTGCACTGATCTTTCCCAGGAAACTGCAGGAGGAGCTGGCCATGGCACAGAGCATGCTTCTGGAAAAGGAGGCCTTCATTGGCAGGCTCACCAGGGAGCTGTCAGAGAGCAGAGCCAGAGTGTCGGACATGAGAGGTGGGTGTCATTGTCCCAGCCCTCCTCCAAGCAGTGACAAGGGGTGGTGTCAGTGCAGTGGGTACACACAGGACTTGGGAAGCTGATGTGACCATCCTCTGGCAATGCTGTTGTCCTGCTGGGAGCAAAGCAGGCAGTCTGTTCCCTTTGGGAGGGTGAATTTCTTCCCATCCTTGGCTAAGCAATAGCAGTGATGGTGAGTGAGGAGGGTAAGCAAAGGAAGATCAGGGGGACAAAACTAAGACCATCTTCCTCAAAATCGCGCTGGTGAGCTCCTTGGAGCTGGAATTGTCCCAAGCCAGGGGACTGGGAGAGCCCTGCTTGGCTTTCCTCCATGGGCAGGACTGTGAATGTGGGGACAGAGCCCACGAGGAATGTGCAGAGGTCAAAGGATGCAAGTCAGAAAATGCTGGCAACCTGTTCCTCTCCAATCTGAAGGAAAATGTCTCAACAAGGAATTGTCCTGGGATTTAGTAAACCAGAACGTCCTGTTGGCATGGCCCAGGATTTGAGGGCAGCTGTGAAGGGCAGGGCAGGACTCTGTGGGGATGAACCCCATTATTGCTGCCAGCTTGCATGAGGGGGGACTGGAAAAAGGGGATGTATCCATGAATGCCAGCTGCAGATCCCCCAGGACTGGGTGATGAGTCAGCCAGCATCCCACGAGGCTGTTTTGCACTTAGGGGAGCTGAGCGAGGAGCAGAAGGTGGAGCTGGAGAAGAACCAGAGCCGCCTGAAACACCGGGAGCGGGAAGTGAACCAGCTCAGGGAGAAGCTATCCCAGATGTCCAACCTTGTGGAGGAGAAGGATCAATCCCTGAAAGCAGCAGCTGAAGAGTTAAGGTACACAGTGACATGAGCCAAGGTTCCACCAATGCCACTCTGTGGGTGCCCAGCAGCTGATGGTGTTTAGGGTTCTCCCCAGAACAAAAGGCACATGTGAGAGCATCAGGATGGAGCTCAGCTCCATTGCACTGATATCCACTGCCATGGGAACCGAAATGGGGGTTTAGTGGAGCTTGTGCCAGCAGATGTGTAACCAAGTCAGTTGTAACTAAGAGAGTGTTCCCACCCACACCATGGTAGTCATCAGTGGGTGCCCAGAGTGCTGCTCTCCCCAAGCTGTTCGGGTCACATGGAACATGTGATAGAACATGCCCTCGGCATGTTCCATCCCTCATGGGGTCCCACAGTGTCTTGTGTCTCGGCACAGGCGAGCCCAGGCCCGCTGCCAGGTGCTGAGGGACGCTTCCCAACAAACGGTGGAAAAGCCTGAGGATGCTCCCAGGACACCAGTGCGGGTGGGTGAAGCCTCCCAGAGGGTGAGTCCCCACGGAGGGCACCGAGGGGTGGGTTTGCCAAGAGCACTGATGGCATCGGCGCTGTTTCTCAGCACTGCAGTGAGGCCTGGTGACTTTCTCTGCTCCACACTGGCAGGAGGGGGGGAGCACCACATTCCCCAGGCCGAGGGCTGCCTGTGCCGCCCGAGATCCGGGGTTCTCGTGCTGCAGCCCCGGCGTTGCTGCTGCTTAATGAGCTGTTTGCACAGCGCTTTGGAACAGCAAAGTGTTGTGTGTGCTAATTGCTGTGCTAATTGGCAATTAGAGGGGATGGCAACATGCGAGCGATCCCTCCTTTTCCCAACTCGTGGAGCCCGAGATGCTGTTCAGGTGATGCAGAAACAGTTCTGGAGTGGTACATGCAGGAGTAGGGGCAGCTTGTTGCACAGGACAGGAGGAAACGCTCCTCATTCCCCTGTGCCAAACTCCTATTTGATTTCCCCGTGGCTGGAAAAGGGAAGAACTCGCAGGTGGTGGCAGCAGCAGATGGAGGGACTGTGGGAATTGTACATTCTGTGCAGGAACGGTGGCAGCCAGCAGCGGGGCCGGCGGGCTGCGCGGGGGCCGCGGTGACTCACAGCCAGCTGACTGAGGGAGGGCGGGAGGTATCGCCCGTCCTGTTCCACAGGCGGGGATGGGGAGGGGAAGGGCCGAGTGCTGGACGTGCTGTTCGGCAGAGCTGTGGCGCGACGGCGGCTGGACCCAGAGCTGGGGGTCTGCAGCCATCGTTAGCTGTGCACAGGGCAGGATGATGGGCCAGCCCCACCACCGGTTTTTGGATGTTTGTCATAATGCAGGAATCTGGACTGGGCTGGGAGAGGGCAGTGCACGTGTCTGTGTGCACGAGTGTCACTTAATAGAGAATAATGCCCACGATTGTGTAGGAACACAGTCTAGAAAGTGTACTGGTGTTTGTGTGTAGATGGTAAGTGCTCTGTGGTAGCGCAAAGGGCGAGAGAAAAATGCCACCATGGCTGTTCAGAGACATGCACTATCCCTCTCCTGGCTCTCTGGAACATTTGCAGGGCCCATGTCCTCACTGTGGCACAGTGGAGCAGGAAAGGGGTCTCTGACAAGTCTCTTATACCCCTCCAAATCCATGGAGATACTCCTTAGGCTTTGCTCTTGGCATGTGCCAAGTGACCAGTGCCTGGCAGCGAGGTTGTGCTTAAGCTGAGCTTGTGCTGAGCCAGCTGCAGGCGGGGTGAGGACAAGCTGGGCTGCTTCTTCCAGGTGCCCCCGTTGGACTTGGCTGACCTCGGTGCAAAATGCCGAGGCCTCAGGCACCAGGAAACGATCCAGCGGCAAAAGGAAGGTTTGGCTGAGCTCCGGGAGAGAGTAAAGATGCTGGAGAAGAGGCAGAGCTCAGGTGAACAGGGCTCTCCTAGAGGCATGGAACAGTTAGAATCATGGAATGATTTGGGTGGGAAGGGACTTTAAAGCTCATCTCATTCTGCCCTCTGCCATGGGCAGGGACACCTTCCAGTGTCCCAGGTTGCTCCAAGCCCCATCCAACCTGGCCTTGGACACTTTCAAGGATGGGGAAGCCACAGCTTCTCTGAGTAACCTGTGCCAGGGCCTCACCACCCTCCCAGGGAAGCTGGGAAAAGCTGGCCAGCCTCAAAGTGGCTGAGATGTGAAGCCACGACATGTTGCACCACAGTTTGGTGGCTGCTTGCCTCCAGGTGCTGTGAAGAAGGGTTTGGAGCCACAGGTGAGAGACTTACCGGAGGAGATAGTCCAGCACACAGGGCTTGAGATGGAGCCTGCACCCATGTCAGGAACAAAATTGAAGGCTGGCAAGGTAAGAAGGCAGTTTGGGGGCTGTGGTTCCTGTGGCTTAGTTGGAAAAGTATTCCCTGGAATAGAGAGGATGAGGCTTTCAGAGATGCCAAGTAAGTCTTTCCCTGTCTGTGCAGGCTCCTGGCCACGTTCCTAATGGGGGGTCCCTCAGGATCACCAACAGGGCAGCGAGTTTGGAGATGGCTGAGGCGACAGACCCCGGTGAGAAGATGGTACGTCAGGGACAGACGTGGTAAATCACGTGTAGAGCACGTGTAAGTGCCCAGTGGGTGTAGAGTTTAGAAGGTTTGTGAGCACATTTCAGAGGTGGGTGACTGGCAGGGCTGTGCAGGACCATTGAGGCTGAACTGCTCTGTGGTCCAGTTGAAGACATGACATGGGGGTTGGATTAGATGGCCTTTAAAGGTCCCTTACAACGTTCTATGATTTTATGGTCCAGGGCACATTGGGTGTCTACCAGGACATCTCAGGACCCCATTCTCCCCTTTCCACTGCAGGCCTTTGGGGTGTTCCCCTGGGCATTCAGGGCTGATCTGCAAGGAGAGGCAGGGTTGGTGAGGACAGAGACCTTCCCCAATGTAGGTGCCAACTAAATGATATGAGAGAGGCTGGGGCCCAATGGAGGAGGCTGCCAGAGGAGGGGTCTGTGAGTAGTACAGCTGGTGGGGTCTCTTCCCTCCAAAAAGGACAGGAAAACATCCAGCAGGGAAATGGTCATGTTGGAAAAGGAAACAATCCAATCCCAATAAGCTGTGCAGCTGGGAATGGAACACAAACCCACTTTCTTTGGGACACTGTCATCTCCTCAGGAGAGCAGACGGAAAGCAGATGGCTGAGCAGCGTGATGGAATGCAGCAAACCTGGTAAATAATGCATTCCCTCTTCTTCCCTCAGTACCTTGATGTGATCGGTGCTCTGGGAAGCCTGATGGAGATGAAGGAGCTGTCAGGAATGCAGCCTCTGCAGCACCTTCCTCTGGAGGAGAGGGAAGAAGTGGGACTGCAGAGACAGAGCGCCCTGGAGCTGCTGTACAAAAAGATCAGGAACCTCCAGCATCGCCTGGAAAGGAAAGAAGAAATGCTAAAAGATTATGAGGGAAGCATGGAGCAGCTAAGGTGTGGAAAAGCAAGGTCACAGTTCCCAGTGAGACCTGGTCCTGAAATGCCAAGGGATGTGGCACCTTGCTGGGTTATGTGTCTGCCTGGGACCAGTCACAGCATGGCCATGGTATAAAAATTAAATGCTAGGAGAAATGGGGAAAGGTTCTCCCAGTTTTCTGCACTGGTACCTTGTGTGGCCTGATGTGGTTGAGCAGTGTTAGAGCTGGGGAAACCTTGGCAGACTCCCTTGTCTGGGGTGGCTGGAGCCTGGGGAGGAGGGTCAGTGTCAGCAGGACCAGGGCAGGTGTGGGAGGGCCCAGCTGGGCGCTGGGGGGGTCGATGCAGGCAACAGACTGACAGAATCCCCCTTCCTGTTTTGCACAGGCAGAACCAAGCATCCCTGCGAAGGTGTCAGGAGGAGATGTCCAACCTGGAAGATGAAGCCCACAGGGAGGCAGAAGAGAAGGCTCTGCTGCGAGAGGCTCTGGAGAGGACACAGCTCCAGCTGGAGCAGGAGAAGAGGCTGCGACGAGCGGCCAAACGGCACAAGGTGAGTGGGGCAGGAGCAGGTGACGCCCAACTCCTGCACTTTGTACAACGGTCTGTTGGAAGCACAGATGGAGTGGTCGGTCAGACCACCCCAAGAGGCTGGAGGTCCCAGGGTCCTGCTGCTCAGCCAGCTCAGCATCCTGGCAGCATCACACTGCCAAAATTGGAAGTGGTGCAGGCACCTGTAGCAATGGGTTTGGACCATGTGCTGGGGTGGGGGAGAGGAGCAGGTCACACATGACTGTCAGGACCTCTCACGGTGAATGCTGTGTCTGATGTGTTTCTGTTCTGCAGCCTGGAGCCACGAAGCCTCTCTGCTCAGGCAAGCCAAGAGCCAAAGAGCACACAGCAGATGCTGTCAAGAAGGGAAGCTCACAGGAGAGGCACCACAGGGGCGTGCAGCGTGTGATGGTCTGCGGTAGGAACGAGTCACCCCTATAAACTCTGTGATGGTGGAGCAGGCTTGAGATGTGGGTGCACTTCGAGTAGCTCCTGTCGGTATCCTGTAGCTCCTGGGCACACTGGTGTGACAGTACAGTGTGTAGGACCTAATTTGCCAGCAGTCTGTCCCCCACACAGCATGGTGGGATTTATGGCAATGGAAGAGGTGGGGAGGATACAACCCAGCCTATACATGTGTGTATATATATTTGTGTGTGTAAATACAGCCATGATGTGTGAAGTCAATTGTGTGGGGTCTGTCCTTTCCTTGGCTGAAGTGGCCTCGAGCACACACAGCTTGAAATATCCCTTGCAACTCCCATATCCTCTGGTCCCTGCGGTGCCTTGGGGGAACTGGATCATAAGACATGATGTAGTATGGAATTCCAGAATTCCTGGAACACCCCAGGAGCAGTGGAGCTGCCACACAGGAAGGGGGAAGAAGAGAACCCATGTCAGCCACACTGGTACAGCAGCAGCACGAGGACAAGCTGGGGAGATGAGAGCGACGTGCCCGTGGGTTGGGATGGGGTGATGGCGCAGGGTCCTTTGCCACCCACTGTTGGCATCGACTGAGGTCCCACTGCTCCTCTTTTTATTAACAAGGGTGAGAGCAGCCCCTGGTTTCTGGGGAGCAGCAGTGTTTTGGGGTCTCCCTGCAGGGAACAGGCAGCTCCAACGCGTGTCATCCCTGCAGCCGCTCCGCCTCAGCCTCGCTCGGAGCACTCCGTGTGCCGAGTCCTCTGCGTCACTTCAGCCGAGGATAATTTGGATGTGAGCAAAGGCCCGCTGGGGGTTTTTTGGTCTTTATTTTTTAATAGGATAAAAAGGTCTGGAAGCAGCAGCGTGGAGGGCTGCAGCAGGCTGATGTAGGGCTGTGGGCGTGCGCAGCACCCAGGGGTGCACAGCGGCCAATCCCTAATGGAAGTGGTGGTGCTGTGGGCTCCAGTCATCGATGTGGCCTGGTTTCCCCCCTCCCTAAGCTGGGAGAAGCTGGATGCTTCCCTGTCTGCATGCCTGGGCTTATTTTGGGGTGAGGCATGACCTTGATTGCCTGATGGAGGTTAAAGATGCTGCTGTGAGCATCCTCTGGGGGTGTCGGGCCACTCCACGTCTGCATATCCTCGCCATCCCAAACCCTGGGTTGGGAATGGAAGGAGCTGGTAGGAGCACAGGTGCTGTGTGTGCACCGGGGGCTGCAGAAGCCCCTTCCCCTCCTTGGAGCCTGTGGAATCGTGGAATTATGAGATGGTTTGGGTTGGAAGAGACTCTAAAGATGGTCCTGGGGGGATCCCACTGGGGAATGGGACCTACTGGTGATGCCAGTGGGGGCCCTGGGGGATCACAGTCAGGTTTGAGTTGAAAGGGACCCTAAAGATCATCCCATGGTGATCCCACGGGGGGATGGATGAGTACCGCCGGTGATGCCGAGGAAGGGGGGGTCCGAAGGGATGGTGATGGGCTGACAGAGGGCGGCGGGGCGGGGACCCCTCCCGTGCCCGTGCGGGAGCCGGGGTGTCGCAGCCGGGCCCCGGGGCGGTCCGAGGGGACGGTGACGGGCTGGCGGGGGGCGGGCAGCCGGAGCCCCCCCAGTGCGGGTGCAGGAGCCGGGGGGCCGCAGCCCGGCCCCGGGGCGGAGCGGGGCGGAGCGGCGCGGCCATCCGGGCACCGCACCATGGCGGCGGCGGCGGAGGAGCCGGAGGGGCGGCGGGGCCGGGGGCCGCGGCCGGGGCCGGCGCCGGGCAGCCCCGCGGGGCGGGCGGTGGGCGAGGGCTCGCCCGGGGGCGGCGGCGGCCGCCGCGTCTTCAGCCCCGCCGGGGAGTTCCGCGAGTTCTCCCGGCGGCAGCTCCGCGACATGGAGCGGCTCTTCCGACAGTGAGTGCGGGGGACTGGGAGGGGGGAGTTCCCCGGGTGGCAGCGCCGGGGCGGACGGGAGACCCCCGGCATCCCGCACCTCCGGCATCCCGGCATCCCTGCTCTTGCATCCTCGGCATCCGTGCTCTTGCATCCCCGGCTCCTGGCAGGGCAGATGCCCCAGCGCCTCCCGCCCCGTGCCTGCGGGCGGGGGCGGGACCCCCCCATTCTTTGCGGGACGGACCCCCCGTCCCTTGCGAGAGGTGCCTCCATGCCTCTCCAACTCTGCAGGAGGGATCCCCCCGCTCTGTGCAGGAGGCTCCCCCAGCCCCCGCTCTGTGCAAGAGGGATGCCGGGGCAGCCCCAATTCCTTGCAGGACAGCCCCCCTTCCTGCTTCTCTCAGGAGGAATGCCAGGGACACCCCTCTTTTCCCAAGCCCCTCACAGGATTGATGGCGGAGACGCCTTCCCCCAGCTCCTGGCAGGAGACATTCCTGCGCACCTCTAAATTCTTGCAAAGAGGGACCTCCCGTCCCCCATGGTGGTCTGAGGCCAGAGAAAGGGGGCTGGAAGATGGGACCAGGGCCCCCCGCATTCCCTCTGCTGCAGCACTGAGGGACCCCCCCGCCTTCCCTGGCGCCGCCGGGACCGCAGCTGCCAGGCTGGCGTGTCCCCAGCATCCCTGCCCGCTGCGTGCCACCACGCGTGGCGGAGCGTGACTCCGAGCACGAGCTCGGCCCCCGGCCCCTGAGGACGAGGGGGGGGAAGCTGACGGCAAACCCCGAACCCTGGAAATTTCCGTGGGGAGCCAGAAATCGGGGTGACCGTATCCCGTGGTCCTGCTGGGAATGCGCGGGAGTAGGCAGGGGCGAGCGGGACAGCCCGGAGCATCCCCATGGAGCGCGCGTTGGGTGCTTTGTGCGGGAGGCGTGGAGGCAGCGGGACTCCGGGAAGCATGGAGATGGTGCAGGCGAAGGCATATTTGCGGCATGCCAGTACCCTCCATCCCGTCTGGCACCGGGGGGGATCTGCGTCAGCGTCCCGGGTGGTCTCGCTCGGGCATGACCGAGGGGATGGAGGAAGCGGAAAGGATGGAGGCAGCGACCCTCGAAACCCAAGGTTGGGGGGCCGTGTAAGGGTGCACGCACACCCTGTCATCACCCCTGGAAGTGCAGGGAGTCTCCCTGCTCCCCGTGTCCTCCCGGAGGGGGCTGTAACCCACTGCCCGGACATGGCAGCGAGCCAGACGTGCGGGTTGCTGCGACCATCTCCTGGGACTGCAGCAGAAGGGAGCCTGCGGCGTGGGGGCACAGCTCGGGGTCCCGGGAGGGGGAGTCCAGCTGCAGCTCCCGGTGCCGGAGGCGATGGGTGGCCGTGCCGGGGGTGCTCCGGCCGCGGCGCAGATGGCGGTGCGGGTGTCGGCGCCGCGCAGGCGACGGAGCGGGTGTGTGGAGCAGACGTGTTTGCTCTGACAGCTGCGGCGTCTCGCTGCAGCGAAAGGAGCAGCGCCGGGGAGGTTTGGGAGCCGGGGGAGGGGGTGTGGGTCACCCAAGGAAAGGATGCTCTGGAGCAGAGCCCTGTCACGCTGACCTCGCTGCTGCTGTCCTAGGGATGTGGCAATCCGGCTGTGTAGAGGAAAAAGTGATGTGTAGAAGGGTTTTTTCCTTGCCACAGGGGAGATGGTGCCCTTTGGGAGATGCTGAGGGATGCTGGCGTCCCAAAAAAACAGGGAGGAGGGGACTGAGAGCAAGGAAGTGCCCTGCAGCTGGGGGATGGCTGGGCAAGACGCCCCTTGCAGAGAAACTCTCTGTGGGATGTGGGATGTGGGATGGAGAGAGACTTTGGACAAGGGCATGGAGTGACAGGACAAGGGGGAATGGCAATGGCTTCAAACTGACAGAGGGCAGGGTTAGATTGCATATTAGGAACACATTTTTCCCTTAAGGGTGGTGAGGCCCTGGCACAGGTTGCCCAGAGATCCTGTGGCTGCCCCATCCCTGGAAGTGTCCAAGGCCAGGCTGAAGCAACTTTGAATAGGAGAAGGAGCAACCATGGCAGAGGGTGGAACTGGATGGTCTTTAGGGTCCTTTGCAACCCCATTCCATGACTCTATGATTCTATGCTCCGAGAGGGGTCTTGGAGGCAGAAACCATGTGAGGTCTGAGCCCACAGCCACACTCCCAGGGTGATGGCAGCAGCAGGCAGAGGTGAGCATGGCCAGAGCAGGGCCAGCTGTGTTTTGGGGTCCCTGTCAGCTTGGGAGATCAGGAAGGCACTGCTGGAGACACGGACAGAGCAGACGGCAGCAGGGAAGGTACAGATGAGTCACGGACCTGCGGCGTGGGGAACCAGGGCTCTGCGTGGCTGCTGCAGTGACAAGGCACACAAAAAAAAAAGCCCTGTCACAACGAGTGCAGCGTGTAGCTGCCCACCTACAGCATGTGGAGCTGTACCAAGCATGGCTCTGTGCTGGCTCCCCACTGGGATCCCACTGTGCCATGCCAGTGTGCTGCCAGCACAGCCCATGGCACCACGTGCACAGACAGGGAGGGGACAGAGGGGCTGTTGGTGGGAGGCTGGAGGGGACAGTGGTGTTGCCACAGGTAGGGGTCTAAGGAGGGACCCCCCAAGGAGGTCCCCCTGCCATGGGCAGAGACACCTTCCACTAGAGCAGGTTGCTCCTGAGAGGGTCCAAAGGCAGGATTGGTGAGCAGAGCTGCATCTGGAGCTCTTGGCCAAGCCCAGGCACCTGGCCATGTTGGAGCATGGGATGTCAGAGGCTCTGGGCAGTGGGGATGGGTCACCTGGAGGTGTCACAGTGAGGAGGAGGGGGAGGTGGTGACGTGGGGAGCAGTGCCCAGTGGCATTAGCCCCATGGCCTGTTATCCTGTGTCGCAGCCAAGGGGAGCATGTGCTCAGGCTCCTGGCACAGGGAGCCAGCAGCAGGTTTGGCAGCATCCTGGCAGGTTCTCCTGCCAAGTGCCGCACAGACACGATCCTGGATAATGCTCCAGGGGGTTGTTAGCGGTTCGGAGGCAGCTTCCCTGTGGTCTGGAAAGCTGCCGGAGATCATCAGTGCCCAAGTCCTTGCTGATCCCTCCTCATTCCCTGGCCAGTGTGAGTGCACGCAGGGGGTCTGGTGCTGGGGGGGTCAGTGCAGGGGGCTGCATGGGCTCTGCCTCCATCCCACAGATACGATGCAGGGAAGGACGGCTTCATTGACCTGATGGAGCTGAAGCTGATGATGGAGAAGCTGGGGGCTCCACAGACACACCTGGGCCTGAAGAACATGATCAAGGAGGTGGATGAAGACCTGGACAGCAAGCTCAGCTTTCGAGAGGTGAGGGGTGAGAGAGGCTGAGGGGCTTCCATGCTGGCAGGGAGGTGTCCCCAGCCACTGTTCGTGGTGGAGAGAAGGTGGGGAGGGACCATGGAGGCTTTGGGGTCTGTAGGAAGCTGAAACCACTGTCTCCCCTCGCAGTTCCTGCTGATTTTCCGGAAGGCAGCAGCAGGAGAGCTGCAGGAGGACAGCGGGTTGCACGCCCTGGCCCGGCTCTCCGAGATCGACGTCTCCACGGAGGGGGTGAAAGGCGCCAAGAACTTCTTCGAGGCCAAGGTGAGGCAGGTGCTGGGCAGAGGGGTCCCACTGCAGGACGGTGATGCACGAGGGCACTTTGGTGCCGGGTAATGGGCAGGTGGGAGGTGGAGATGTGGGGGTGTGCAGGAGGGCTTGGCAGGGGTCCCAGCTGGACATGTCCATCCACAGGCACAAGCCATCAACGAAGCCAGCCGCTTTGAGGAGGAGATCAGGGCGGAGCAGGAGGAGAAGAAGAAGCAGGCGGAGGAGCTGAAGCAGAGGAAGGCGGCCTTCAAGGAGCTGCAGTCCACCTTCACGCAGTGACGGGGCTGGGCAGGACTGGTCAGCGGTGCCCGGGCTGGGAACGCTGCATGTGCCACATGATAACCGTGCCGGGAGCGATGCCAGAGCCACGTGCTGCTCCGGCTGCCAACGAGATCCCGGCGCGGGCTCGGCACAGCGCCCACCTTGCTGGCAGAGCCCGGTCGGCCCCAGCTCCCCCCTCCCCTCTTGCTGTGGTGTCTGTAGGTGTTGTTCGTGCCCCCCCATCCCCAGCATGCCCCCCACCCTGAGCAGCCCCTGTTCCATGCCCGCAGCTGCACCGGGGGTTGCTGCTGCTGAGTCTCAGGGGAGCCGTGTCCGGAATGCCCGTCCCTGGGACACCTGTGCCTGGACTGTTGTCTGTTGTGTGTGCACTGGGAAGTTTGCAGGATGGGGGCTTGCCCAGGTGGCCGTGGTGGGTGTTGTGGTGGCCGCACTGGCTCAGTGTCTGTCGGTATTGCCACGTGTCACGGATGACAAAGGCCGTGGCGAGTGCTGGGTGCTGGCAGACGGGCTCTGTGTGTGTGTGTGTGTGTGTGTGTATGTGTGTGGTGCTGGGGGGTGGGTGCCCACCCTGCTGGCATGGAGCCCCCAGGAGCTGTGTCTCTCTTTGTTTTGGTCGAAGACATGCAGAAAGGCAGCTGCTGGCTTGTGGGGCTGTATTATGTTTTTTCATGTTGTATTCAGCCTGGGAGGGTGAGCATGGTGGCCACAAGTGGTTGCCATCATCATCATTGAGGCTCCTCTGTTGGTGGGTGGCTGTAAAGACCCACATTTGTCCCACACTGTCCCCCGAGTGGCAATATAGGGGGTGTGTTATGTTTTTTTTAATTTAATCCCAAATAAATATTATATTTCTTAAGTGCTGGGTGCTGTGGTTGCAGCCGTGGGACGGGCATGTCAGTGGTGGGGGCTTGGGTGGGGGGAAGGAGCCTGGGGAGTGGGGTGTGACTGTGGGCACCAGGTGGCCACTGCAGGAGGTGGCAGGGAACGGGGGTGACGCTTGGCAATGTGGGGACATTGGCATGGGAAGCAGCAGGGACCTGATCCAGGTGTGGGGACACGGTGCTCTCGAAGGCCATCAGCAGCACTGCTGGCACCTGCTCCCTCAGCAACCCTGTGGCACCTGTGGGGTTTGGCTGGTCTTGGCCACGTCGAGCATGAGATAACAGGACCTTGTCCCTGAGGGGTGGTGGTGTGGGGGGCTGTGCCCTGGGGCAGTTGGTGCTCGAGTTTGGGGTACAGCAGGGCTGACCAGCACCCCACAGAGAGCAGTGTGGATGGGGCACCCACCAGCTGCCCCCCAGGAGGGACCCTGCCCATCCCAGAGCAGGGCCAGGTGTCTCTGCCACGTCCCATCATGGTGCCAGCACACGATGGGCAGATGTGGCCATTCCCAGGCGGGACAGGGAGTGTGATAAGATGGGGCGACGGGGCTGAGGAGCCCTGTGCCCCCAGCGTGGGAGAGTCCCCACATGGCAGCGGCGGGAGGGGCCACTCCAAGGTCCCCAGGCCCTATAAGAAGGGTGAGCAGCCCCAGTGCAGTACCTTTGGTCAAGCACAACCATGCTGGGAGCCATCTGTCTCGTCGTGCTGCTGGGCTACGGTGGGTGCAGGGGATGGGGAGGGGACGGGGCAGGGGGGAACGGGACCCTGGTGCCTGCCATGGCCTTGGGCATGGGCTCAGGCAGCCTCTGATATCCCTGTTCTGGGTGTCACACAGCCTACGGATGCGGCCAGCCGGCCGTGCCACCACAGCTGGGCACCCGCGTGGTGGGCGGTGAAGACGCCGTAGCCCACAGCTGGCCCTGGCAGGTAAGGGGGGCACAGGGATGGGGGTGGGGACAGGGGTGGGGACATTCCTGCTCTGACCCCGTGCCTCTGCCATCACAGATCTCACTGCAGTACGAGAGCTCTGGGTCTTGGCACCACACTTGTGGCGGGACCCTGATTGCCCCTCAGTGGGTGCTGACGGCCGCCCACTGCATCAGGTGGGTGTCAGGGTGCTGGGTGAGGTCTGTGCCATGGAGGTAAGGCATTTGTGGGGACTGACACCCTGCTTTTTTCCCTGGGCAGCTCTTCACTGACGTACCGTGTGGTGCTGGGCAAGCAGGTCCTGTCGGAGGATGAGCCTGGCTCTGTGGCCGTGGGTGTGGAGAAGACGATCGTCCATGAGAATTGGAACTCCTTCCTCATCATGTAGGGGATGGGATATGTCGGAGATGGATGGAGGGTGTTGCTGCCAGGGACCTCCATCCCCAGAGCCCGGGACCGATCCTCATCTCATCTGTCCCCACAGCAACGACATCGCCCTGATCAAGCTGGAAGAGGAGGTGCAGGAGAGCGATACCATCCGGGCCGCCTGCCTGCCCGACGCCGGCAAGATCCTGCCCAACGACTACCCCTGCTACGTCACCGGCTGGGGACGCATCAGGAGTAAGCAGGGGGTCCCCAGAGGGTCCCTGGGGAAGGGGTGCAGGCACAGGGTTTGTGAGGTACGAGGTTCGCGTGTCATTACAGCCTACGGGCCCCTGGCCGATGTCCTGCAGCAGGCTCTGCTGCCCGTGGTGGACTATGAGACCTGCTCCCAGAGGAACTGGTGGGGCAGCAGCGTGCGCACCACCATGGTGTGTGCCGGCGGTGACGGCATCGTCTCTGGCTGCAACGTGAGTGCCGGCGCTGCAGGGCGGTGGGGGGGGGTTGAGCGGTGCAGGACCGCAGCACTGGGAGGGGAGGGGATGGAGCCGTGGGGGTGGATGGCCAGGGGTGCATCAGCGGGGAGCCCAGGAGCGCTGGGTGTGGAGCACGTACCTCTCCGTGCAGGGCGATTCCGGCGGCCCCCTGAACTGCCAGCGCGAGGACGGGGTCTGGGAGGTGGAAGGGATCGTCAGCTTCGGCTCCGGGCTGAGCTGCAACCTGATCAGGAAGCCAACGGTGTTCACCCGGGTGTCCGCCTACATCGACTGGGTCAACGAGGTGGGTGCCCCTTCCTCTGCCCCTGCACAGGGGTTGGCCACGCTGCCCCTGCCCCGCCGAGGGTCTCACCGTGAGCCCCCCTGTGTCTTGTCTTTGGCAGAAAATAAGCTCCAACTGAGGACTCGGCACGTGGAGATTCAAGTGTTGAGTGTGATAAAGGCAAAAGTGCTGACTTGGTCTCGTGTGGTTCTTTGGAGGGATTGTGGTGGAACTGAAACCCGGGGCTGTGTCTTGTGGTCCTGGGGTTCTGCCCCTGTGCTGGGGAGAGTCCCCCCCATGGTGCAGAGGTCCTGGGGAGGCTGACATGGGCAGACATCCCACAAAGTGCTCAGGTGGGGGTAGAGCCATGGCCACTGTCAAGCCCAAGGGCTCGAGGTTTGGCTGGTGGTTTGATGGGAGAGGGGCTGGAGTCTGGCTGGATGGTCTTGGGGGTCATAGTGAGGTAGATCTCCAGCAGGATGCTGCAATCCAGTGGTACCTAAAACCAGCTTCACTTACCCCAGCAGTGCAAGCAATGGGCATTGGCAGTTCCCAGCCAAGTTTTCTGGCTTCACCACAAGGATTTGAGACCAGAAAAGAGACCAGAACAGAAAGCAGATCCTCTCTGTCTCACTTTGGCCATGGCCTTTCAACCCCCAGCATCACCCTAATTGGCTCAACCTGAGCCTGCCCCCCATTCCCCTCACTTGGGGCAGGCAGTTCCTGCTCCCTGCCCTCTGCTCCTAACTCCCAGCCATCCCTTCACCCAAACCCAAACCGCAGGCTGGGAATTGCTCTGCCTGCAGCACAAAACTTCCTAAAAGTATCAGAAATGCTTCCCAAAGAAGCAGGGAAATAACCTACTGACTGCCCCTCAGCAGCACAGACCTCCCCTAAGACCACTGCACCTCCCGATGGCTGCTCTGAGTATTCTTTCTCCCCCAAAATCCCACACACATCCAGGGTTTCTGACCTGAAACGGTGACTGCAGCAGCTCCTGGGGGCAAGTATTTACCTCAGCTCTGATATTCCAAAGAATCCTCATCAGTTTCCTGCTGTAACTCCTGTTTAACACCCAACTGATTCCTTGGAAGGAGGAGGATGCCTGCTCCACGGGCTGGCACAGCCACACTAGAAACTCTCCCAGTAACAGCAGGGGTTCAAAATTTACATGAGCTAAGGTCCTCCTGCTCTTCCCATTTCAGAGGAGCCTTCGGAAGGTGCTAAAATGGCAATCAGGAGATGGAACAAAGGAGGGAATACAGCAAAAGATTTGCTTTTTCTTTTCATTTATTAAAAACACTGATGGCAAAACTCATCCCAGTACACCTGAGGGCCAAACTTGATCCCATCAATCAGTTACCCGGGCAGCACAGGACACAAATATCAGGATCAGCAAGGAAAAACACTCTGAGGCTGAGTGTGGCCACATGAAGAGCCAGAGGTGCTCTCCTCTGGCTCCAGAGGCTCCAGGCTGGCATGTACCCCAGAAAAGGGGCTTCCTGCTCCAATCCCCAGCATTTCCCATGGGCACAGCACGATCTCCACCTCATCTCAACTTCACAGCAAGGACAGTGTTAGCAGATCACATTTCTCCAGACAAATATCTCGAGAGACAGACAAAATCCACGGGAGCATCGACGCCGAGTCGTGGCAGGCACAGATTCCACCCGGCCACAGGGAAGGAACTCTCACACTTGGCAGAGACCTCGGAGCCCAGGTGTCAGTCACACATGAAGTAGAATTTTTTACGGAGGAAGTTGAAACATCCTGGGATCTGCTTGTAGCTCCCCTTGGCTGAGACAGCATTCGCCACCTGAGAACAGATGGGGAGTGGCTGGGGAGCAGATGCTCTCCTGACTGTTGCAGGAAGCTTGGGAACAGGGGTCAGGAATGGGACTATGGACATGAGAGATGGCAGGGCTCTTAATATGAGACATTTTTGCTGGCAAAGTGAACTCAGGGGAACACGCTTTCAAGAAACCTCAGCCATACCACCAACCCCTGCCTCTGGCAAGTGCTTCTTGGCATGAGCCAGAATTCCCTCCTTCCCTTTGGGAATTCAATTAAAAGCAAGTTCCTTTCCACCCATTTTCTTCCAGATGTGCCTGTCACTTCCCCAAGGTGGTTTCCTTACACTGAACACCAGCCAGCAGAGAGGGGCTCGTGCTTCTCCCCTGCAATTGCTCACTGCCGAGCCAAAGCAGCACAGTGACATCCAAACCCCATCCTCCAACCCCAGAACATGCTCCTGACCCAAGTCCCATCAGCTTGGATTTAGAGGATGGGACAGGCTACACCATTTTAAGCAATTTCCTTGGAAAGATTAAAGCCTGCATTGCCAGGATTACCCCTCGCCGGAGAAACCTCGCGGTGACTTTTGGTAGATTGAGGCCAGACACTTTCTTCGTAATTAAATCTCTCTGCAGTACCTCCAATTAGCCCATCCCTAAAGTCAACACTCAATATCCTCATTCTTTTTTTAATTGTAGGCCTCCACACCCTGACTAATCACATTCCTGACTATTTCCTTCATCACGACCACAAAAAGAAGGCAAAAAAAAAGACATTTACCCGCACTAACATGTTCAGCAGGTCTTCTGAACGGGCATATCTCTCCAGCACACTGTCCAGTGTCTCCACGTACCACGAGCCAGTCGCCTCCCTCCAGGAGACAAAACCTTCAGAGAAAGAAGGAGAATGTTATGCCAAAGCCCATCTGCTGTTCTCATCCTGCTCAGTTCCTGCCGCCCCAACGGAGCTGTCGCCCTGAACTGCCGCTGACTTTGGCTATGAAGCTCCGACTTTTCTGCTAATTCCCCTGTGCCCAGCAAAGTACTGTCACCTGGAAAAGTTGAGTAGGAGACCAAGATGTCACTGGGTGTGGGCAAACAGGCAGTGGCATCTGGCTCATCCACGTTACCCGACGGAGCCCGAAAAGGAGTCGCATCTGATTCCAAAGAAGCTCCAGGAGTTTCATCTCTGGGTGAATCGCAATCCACTATGAAGCCTCGATCTTTTTGTTCTGAAAAAAGCAGCAATGAGACAGTTCCTGATGTTCACCCCACCCAAGGGATCCACAACTGTACATCCAACGTTAAGAAAAAATGGTGAAAGAAGAGGACAAAGGCCCTAGAACAAAACAAGGCTTTTTGGCCCTTCGGCTGCGCCGGTCGAGCTGCAACCATTGGTGTTTTGTACAAAATTCCTCACTTTGTGTTTCCACACCGACTTACGGCCGAGGAGCTGGAGCAGCCACTCAGCACATGGTAAAAGAAGGGACAGCTGGAGTGAGAAGACAGCTGGAGAGAGAGACAGGCGACCAACAGAACGGGAACCAAAGCCACAGCCTGACCACATCTCCGAAGCCCAGTGCTACCAGAGCCAAGACAAAGATTCACCTCCACCACAGGCCTGGATGAAGAAGAGTTTGGGTTTTCCTCTCAAACTTGGGCAATTGGACCCATTGAAATAGTTCACAATCTTTTCTATGGGAATGGGTTTTCCATCCGTTCCGTAAACGCCGCCGGGAAACTGAATATGGCTCGTCTGCAAGAGGAAAATGCAGGAGCTAGTGATGGGGGTGGAGGGCTGGTGACGAGGGAGACCATTTCCCATTGGGTCTTTCGTGGCCAAAAGGTACCACAACAAATCCTGGTGGTTGTGGAAATTCCTGTGGCCAAGTCAGGGCGAGGGGACACCGAGAAGCCATTTGGAACACACTAAAATCCAGCAATCCAACTTCTATTATCCAACTCCTATCCCACCTCCTCCAGCAACTGAGTTCTTCATCCTCTGGGACAACAGGCATGTACCATACACCATTTTCTTAACATTCCCTCTCCTCTCCTTATCCTTCAAGAGCTCTGACTGGGAATAAACAGGCTTTACTGCTCATAGAATCTCCCTATCAGAGCTCGAGGACTGGAAGGACTAATTAATGGCATGAAGCTGTATCAGGAAAGGTTTAGGTTGGATATCAGGAAAAGGTTCTTCACCCAGAGGGTGGCTGGGCACTGGAACAGGCTCCTCAGGCCTGGCCCCAAGATGCCAGAGCATAAGGAGCATTTGGACAACGCTCTCAGGGACAGGGTGGGATTGTTGGGGTGCCTGTGCAGGGCCAGGAGTTGGACTCAATGATCCCTGTGGGTCCCTTCTAATTCAGGATATTCCATGATTCTGTGAACAACCACAGTACGAGGCTGAGCATACCCTCTTCACTCTCTGCCAGTTGTTCAGTTCCAAATTATTTGCCCTGACTTCCCAACAGAAACACTTGTCCACAGGCAACACTGGATCAGACTACACCAGAGAAGCTCCCATTTTCTTTAACCCAGATACAGACCACTTCTTCCCTCCTGCCCTGCATGAGACCTCCCTTCCATGCCTGAGGAAAAAAGGGAGAGATGGGATGAACCCACCTGACAGCCATGGGAAAGGATGACCACGATGCAGCAGTCCAAGGCGCTGTGGTCCCGCCGCGCCAGCTTCTGCAGCTCCAAAACCATTTCCTATGTGGGAAACATCACAAAAAGGGTTTTTTGAACCATATTACAAATTACTGCTAGGCCCTGCTCTCATTGGGCACGGAAGGACCTGGAAGAACTCTGCCACGGGATAAGGTGAGTCCCAAGGACAGGTGGCAAAAGCCACCAGCAGAGAGCACGTATTTCTATGTATCTGCCCTTATTTAACATTGGCTGCTTTAATCACACAAATTTCTCACCTCTCTGCACTCTTTACAACACAGCAACATAAACCAAAACACATTTCCACATGATTTATCCACTGAAATCTGCTGCTTCCGACCAGGAGTGGGGGGTGAGCAGAGAACCACGTTTTACTTCCAGAGGCCACTGCGGACGATCAAGCTCCCCCCTCACCACCTCAAACAACAGCTGAGGGCTGTACAGACAGACAAATCACACAGCCCCAATGCTGTCCCAGCTATCCCCAAAACACAGCCTGACCTATTACCCTACAAATCACAGCCAGGATTCAACAATCAGGCAGAAGGCTGAAAACATGCCAGGTCTTCTTTCCTTCCGCAATCACAGCACGACAATAAAATAAGAGGATGCAAGTGGTTGTTTGTGTGCCCCGTGCTGTTGGCGTGGGGTTACATCCCCTAACATGTTCCCATCGCTTCCAGGGGCTCACCTCTCATCCCTTGTGGCAGCAGGACACAGCCAA